AAAAAAAAACGAAAACAAAAAGTTCAAAGATTATTTCTTTTTCCTGTAATTATAAATCAAGTGAAAGATAAAACGAAAAAAAAAAATTCTTTTCATTCTAGAATTCAATCAGACTTTCTAAATGTGTACCGTATTTCCCGAGTAGAAACATGATAATAACACCAAGAATAACACCACTATTTTGACATAATAATATTTTAAGTTTTAAAATTGTTGTTATGGATTTTTTTGTGTCAATATAATCTTTTTCTATTTCATCACCCATTGCAACAAGTTCTGGTATCTATACGAAATGAAAAACATAATATCTTGATTCAAAAAAAAAAAAATATTCATCTACCATATCTGCAAGACCAATATACACAAACATTCCACCAGCTAAAGCATATATCCATGGATGAAATTCTTCTAATTCTCCTTAAAAAACAAAAAGGAATTAAATTGCTGAGTGAATAACTTAAATTTTAACAAACCTAATTTTGCGCCAACGAAAAATCCAAGATAACAGCTACAAGCTGATAGAAAATTAACTATGATTGCTTGTCCAATAGTTAAACCACTACTAAGTAAAACAGCTAGATCACCAAGTTCATGTGGAAATTCTTCACATGCTATTGGTAAAGTCATTCGAAGACCTTCACCAATTGATACCATAAACGCTGCACCTAATGTTAAACCATCAATAAAATTATGTAACATATCTCCAATAAAAATCATCCATCCAGCTGCTTTCATTGCTTTTAAATTTTCTATTAGATTATCGAGATATTTACTTGCAATCAAGATCTAAGAAAACAGAAAATCGAAGATTTATTTAAGAAGAAAAAAAAGTCAATCAAATCTAATTTGTGACAGGAAATTCAAATGAAATGACTAGGAAAAATATTTCATGAAGATTTAACTCAATGCTTCAAGATATAAACACAGATAATTAATTTGAATACAAAAAGAATATAAAAATGAAGTTTATATTTTTTAGATTAGATTGACTTACATATAGGTTTGGGCAAGATGTTCTCTGAACCGGAACTAAAACAATTAGTCTGTACCGTATCCAGTCCAGTAATTCCCTTTAATATGAAAAGGATATAGACATGTTGTGTATATTTATGGGACTAGGTTGCATTAAAAAATTTATCCTATTACAGTTAACTATTCGTCAATGCTTCATTGAGTAACTTCAATATTAGCGTTGATGACTAATCCTATAAGATAGTTGTCTTGCTTTATTTTTGACTTCTAACATGTATTTTAAATAAAATATTAGCTAACTCATAATTAGGCCAGTGAAAAACAACCCATAAACTTAATATCTGGGTGTGAATGATGCGATCGGTAGAGATGCAACTCTTGTCTTCACCCACAAACTCACACCCCCTAGCTACAACATAATCAGTACGCACATCCCATATACTTGTCATTATAAAATGAATTTTCCAATTCAACTTAACGCCAAGCTAGAAATTAGACTCCTTCAAATGAATGTGTAAAAATGAATTCTAGCTATATATCATCGAAAGTATTCTGGAGTTTTGCAATAGTATTCTTTAGCTTGTATCATCATACATTGCAGATTGATGTGTAGAAATTGAAATTTTTCGAAAACGCGAAATCTGTCATATTCTCCTAAATTTGAAATATTTAGGACATACTTTAGAACTTTTGTCGGTTGAGTTTTGAGTACAAGAAGGAATATATTTATTAATATCGCTTGATTCTATCTATAATGAAAAAAGAAAGAAAAACAAATATTTCAAGTAAGTAAATAATTAAAGAAATTTACTGATATTTCATCACATTCATGGTTATGTGTACATATAACCTAAATATAAAAGTAAAATAAAACAAATAAAATTTACTAAATAATAACATATACAAACTGTTTCAATATTTAAGAAAATTCTTGATAGTTGATCACGCATATAAAATATATAGATAGCAATCATTGTGACAAGAGCTGTATTAAGATAGCGATGATAAGTATCAAGTTTTGGAATGTTAAATGCCTTAAGAAAAAAATAAAAAGAAAACATATTTTTCCCATTAAAAATATATATGTAAATATACTAACCATAGGAATTAAATGGAATATCCCTGATCCTGTCAGTGTACCTACAGCTGAAAAACAGCAGATTCTTGGTCTATATACATTTACACACAAAAATATTCATTATACCTATACCAATAAAAGTACTAAGAATCCATTTAAAAGCAGATTTTTTTCGGAATGGCAATATAAAAGCACCAGTCAATGCTGAGCAATTAATAAAAGTAACAGCAATCAAACCGATCAAAATATCTAGAATAATCATAGAGTTTTAACGTAAATAATCATACTCATTGTATACTTTTCCATGTTGCATGTCCTTTTGATTCGCGACATTCAGTATTAAATTTAGCATAAACAAGACCAGGTAATAATCGTTGGATATCAGCAACAGTTAAACTATCATTTATATTATCTTGTTGAATATTGAAAACATTAAACAGATCATTTATTGATTGAAAACACTGAAAATGATGTGAAGATATTATTATTTAGTTTTTAAAAGAAGTAGATTCATTAGAATTCGATGATCATAATTCTTCGATAGAAAAAATAAATTCTCAATGCATTAAACAGACGTTATTAAAAGATATTTCTCTTTTCAAACAATATGATAGTGTCGACCAGAGATGTCCATCGCGGCGCGACCGCTGCCGCCACAGCGGCAGCGGCGCGGTAGCGGTAGGTTTTTTTGGAGAACAATGCAAAAATGCATGAATTCGAACAGAATTTCAGTGTTTGCAAGTACAAAACTATGAGATTCAACGAATCTTATCGATTGGTAACAACAGCTCAAGTCCTGAACAGTCACAGATCGTAAAATTCACAACATTATTCTAACAATCATTGCGGCAGCGGCGCGGTCGCGGCATGGTTATTTTTGGTGGCGTCGCGGCAGCGGTGCGGTAGGTTTTCTGTTTTTATCACCGCGGTGCGGTGGCGACGCGTTAGCTTTTTTCTTTTATCGTCGCGGCGCGGCAGCGGTCAGTTTTCAACCGCGATGGACATCTCTGGTGTCGACATCGAAATTTTGTCTATTTCTCAATGCTTTCGTGGAATTGGTGCACATTAAGCATTGAAAACTTAAGTCTCTCTCCATTTCACAAACGATATAAATTTTTATTTAGTATATTGTTTTTTTCTCTGTGCGTTTTTCTGATTCCGTGTTCTACAATTCTCGACAAAGCCTAATTGTATCAAATTACTTGTTTTTTTTGTTGTTTGAAAGAGCATGTAAAGCTACAGTGCCTGACAGAGTTCGCTTTTAAATTAAGCTCGTTATATTATCATATGAAAAAAGTATTTCTATAAATAGATGAACAATTTTTTTTGAGAGTTTTTCAAGGTACTGAACATACCATCCTTTTTCTTGGCATAAAAACTAAAAATTATTTTAAGCGGTGATGATGAAAGACAACCTAGGTAAAAGTATGAGATCTATTGAAAGATCAAGGAATCTAATGAAGATCGAAACAAATAAGAAAATTTTCGTTTGGATTCGAATCGGTTTTAACCTTTCATTAATTTTTCTATAGACTTCTTAATTATTTACTTTGATTTTTTTACGTGGTCCACTTTCCTCACACTTATTCTTTTTGTGCTCATCTTTCTCGATGCCGCTTTCTTTACAAGTATATATAGATTAAAACCAAGAGTGTTAGATAACTGTCTGTTTAAATACAAATACTTGTATCAAGTCATACAGCCGTCAGTCTATCGAAAGCTTACTGATAGGCTTGTTTTACAAATTGAAATCATATTAAGCGTTGAATATAAATTCAGAGCAATTGGATTTTCAAATTTTCTTCTCGATAATAATAACTAGCATAGATCTAAAATACCATTTGCATAGTTGAAAGGATTCTTTCTCAGGATTGATAGGCTCGAAGACTCAAAAAAAGAACTGTTTTGATGATGGTTTGCGAAAAACCAAGCCTCTCACAATCAGCTTTCTAACTTCTATTGGAAGCTGTTGAGAAAACATTTTGTTTATCGCTGATCTCTTCATGAATGAAATAAAAATTTCCCGCAAAACTTCAGAACGGAAGTTAGAGAGCTGCATCTTGCTGTTCCGCAAACACTCATCAAAATAGTTTTCTTGGATTCTATCGATCGTGATAGAGAAATTTTTTTAGCTAAGCAAATGATCTTTCCGATTCTTGTTAATTATTACCATTGAGAAAGAAAACTTAAAAAAGGCAACTGCTCTGAACTTTTTTGTCAATCATTATAGAATAACTACTACAAGATCAAAAGTCTATTGATTTATATATTCATTAATTGTCTTTAATTTATTTGTAAATCTTACTCAAGAATATTCATTTTTAATTTTTATTAAATGTCACAAACAACTTAAATAGAAGTCATATTAAGCTTAGAATTATTATATAGATTGAATAAATATTCGCAAACATGATATCAATTTAAAGTAAAACAAAAGTAAATTAATTAAATTATAATAAACAAAATTTGATTATCTATGAAATATATACGATAATTAAATACTATGAAAAAGAAATACTATTGAATATTTACTTTATGTTCTATATTCAAATCTCGAATATCATTATCATGATGAATATTTTGTATCACTTTTAAATTATCTATACTATTTGTATTAATAAATTTTCGATAGAATAAATCCAAATTAGTTTTTGTTTTAATATGTTTATAAAGAAGATTTTCTTCAAAATTATTTAATATATTATTATTTGTTAATACTGTATATGATCCCACTAAAATCGAAATGATGACTAGATAATAAATCATTATCTAAAAAAAGAATTTTATGACTATATACTATGAATGAAAATAATAACATGTAGAAAAAAAAAAGAAAATGATGGATTTGAATAGCTAACAGAGATAATTAAACTGCAATTTTTTTTATCACACATGTCAATGATAATAATATTTGAAAAGATTCATATTTTTTTTTTGTTTTTTATAAATTTTAATGATTACGACAAAACCATCGAGATACATCTCGACTACAAACATAATCATAAATATTTATACGATGATAATAGCGCCAAACTGATGCTAATACTAAAGCAATTATAACACCGATTATAAGAAAAAGATTTTGACATATGAGAATAAGTGTTTTTATTAAACGACGTTGTTTTGATGTTTGATTTGTTTGTTTGAGAATTACTTGTAAATGATGACCAAAATCATTCAATTCAGGAATCTTAAATGAGAAAAAGAGAATTATTTTTAATATATGCATATTACATTGGTGTATAGGACGCAAAAAAAAAATGCTTTACTGAAATTGACAAATCCCTAACTTGCTGTTTTGTTTCTATCGCAACTGACAACTTTACTTTCTTGATATATGCGTCGTATCGAGGAGAGGAGCAGAGTAAAACTCTTAAGCTTTTTTTCATTCGTTACCGGTAAAAACGATCAGACCGAACGATATACCAGCATGAATCATTCTTCGCGTAGAACAACTTTGTGATTAATCATGTCCGTATCCTAATCATTACAGTTATGCTATTGAATACCGTTGATATGTCGACAATGACCGGGAGCTAATGGGATACTTAAATAGTCATCTATCTTGTGATTTAGTACTTTTTTTTTGTATTTATTACCGGACGTTGTTTTGTCTTTTGGTATAGAAGACTCGATAGGATTCCAAATTCTATGACAGCTTTTTCATATTTGTTAGCTGTTTGTAAGACACAGATGTTAGTGATTATTTGTATATTTAATCTGTTTTGCATATGATATTTGCTTGGTTATCTGTCATATCTATGCATAATACATCTTAGAGGAAATCTAAGTAAATCGATAATGATTATAATGTTAAATGATTAGTCAATTTTCTTTTGATCATATAACTCGATATGAAAAGTGAATTGATAAAATGTGATAAGAATATTATGATGAATTTCAACTAAATGAAATAATTCAGTACATTTTTTTCCTCATACAAATAATCTTTAACATCAGTTAAATGTTGAATTTGCGAAAAAAAAAGACACATAAAATAATCAAAAAAAATATCTATATTAACCGTTTATGGTTACAACTCTGATAAGAATTTCAAAACTATATCAGACTTTTAGTTTTAGAAATAGGACATGATTAATTAATAGAACGACTCCTATCAAGAATGTACAAAATATGTTGCATTAAAGTATAAATCAGAAAACAAAAATACTCTTTTTTTCTTGACATTAGACCTTCACATCTGGATCATAATAAAAAATATTCATAGGCTTCCCAGGCTACTAATTACAGTTGTCGAGACAGCTAAAAATAGTTGTCTATACTGTCGTGTCACACAGTCTACGGCCATAAATAGTTATCAATTGACGTTTGGTCGATGCACTATTACGATTGTCCTTTACCCTACTGTACACAACTAATAACGATCTAAATATTGTGTGTCTGATCGTGTACATTACATTGAAATTCACTTCTGATATTGCGTCTGCTAAATAGCAAGAAAACCATTGGAAACAGGGTTTTCTACAACCATATTTAATTGACATAGATAATATACATAAACTCTCTCTCTATATATATATCATATATTTTAAAATGAATACAAAGTTGATAATAATAGTAACAAGAAGTCTGTTATTGGTAATCGAATAACACATTAGATACTAAGATAGAATATATTAAGTAAAAAACAAGAAATATATGCTACAAGGAAAAGAAAGGGATGTTGTGCTATGCACATCAACACAAATGACAAAGAAACATGATATGATTTAAAAAATGACGCGTTTCTAAATTTTCATCGACAAAAATAGTCTGCATTTTTTTTGTTTTTTTATTATAATGATTATGTTCGAAAATAGAGTTCAGCATAAATGTAACCTATAATCTAATATATTTTAATAGAAATACAAAAACAAAGCTTTCCTTTTTTTTTTTTGTTTGTTCTTAGTAAAGCTCTTAAGTTTTATTATTTATTTAAGGTGAATATATTATGAGATGCAACACATTTGGTATTTTCTCGCTATATATAATATATTAAAAAAATACAGGAAGTATGCTAATAAAAACAAAGGAAGGATAGAATCAATCAAACACTATTGAATATTGTATGACACACTTTTTTTATTATTATTAAATCTACATAAAATAGTGTTTATTTTTGCTTTCAGTTGGTTATTTGAATAAAGAAATATATCATATACGGCTACTACTTAATTCCTTCTTAGACATCCAGGTTATTAAATGAAAGAATAGTTAATCATAAAAAGAATCAGTAATATGACTGTAATAAAAAGTATAAGTATTGCTATAAAAATATCTTACCAAAGTTACAAGTGCTGTATAAAATAATGCACCATATACGATTGAATAGATATATTCTGTACGAATATAGACTATATTATTATCAAATCGTTGATTAATTTCCATAAGAATTCCACCAATTAAATAACCAAGTAGAAGAAAAAATATTGAAATAATAAGAAAGAAAAGACCACGTTTTCTACCCATTGATGAAATTGTTTCTAAATAATGAATTTATTTTATTTTAAGTTAAAAAAGTAAAAAACTGTATGAATTTTTTTTTTGTTGTTAGTCTTACGTGAATGACGTCGAAATCCTTCACTAAATATCATAAGACTTAAAATTAAACCAATCAGACGATTATGTGCTATGGCTGTTGATAAACCACAACCATAGATGAGATCATTGAAAAAATCATTAATTATATGATATAATATGAGATTACGTTTTTGATGAGGAAGTTCATTTGTTGAATGATGATGATGATGTAATGTATTTTTATTATTATTAAGAGGAGTTTGATTTGATTGTAAAATAACTTCTTCATCATCACTATCATCATGTAACTAAGATAAAAATTAAGACAAATGAATCTTCAACTAAAAAATGTCTAAAAATTTTCTCCTCAACTCAACCATATCAACTTTTAAAATCTTCGAATTTTCTAAAATCAACTGAAATTCAAGGGCATAATGTAATTGCAAGCGAAAAAAAAAAATATATATACATCCTAATTTGATCAAAATATCCATAAAATAAATGTTTGAGTCCAATGAACCGTAACGTATAAGAGAAAAAAAAGAAAAAACTTAAATATTTACGATCGAAGTGAAAGTGACGAATCTTCTACATTATTTCAACTTACTGGTATTCTTGCTGGTGGATTTGAATGTCTATAATGATGATCATCCTATAAAATAATTATTCTTATTAAAAATTAAAAAAAAAAAATGTAGCAAACATAAATACATCTCCACTAGCATGTAATGTTCCATGCATTCTAGCCATTTGTATCATAGATGAATCTGATAATTTTCTTAATTCATGTTGATCATCATTTGTTTCATTTAAATGCATCTATAGTAAAAAAAAAAGAAAAAAGGTAAAAATCAATTTTATAATAAATTTACTTCATCAATTTTAAATCGAAATCGAAGAAGTTTTTCGACAATAAAAAATAAATAAACACCAAAAAATACAATTGTTGCTCGAAAAAGATAAATATAATCAAAACTTTCATTTGGTACTTCATAAATCTAAATTAAACAAAAAAAAAAAAAAAACTTCAATAACAAATAAATAAATAATTTCTATTTTATTATACATGAGGAATTAAATGATAAATAATTGTTCCAAGCATTAGACCACATGTAAATGCATTAAAACCAAGACCTAACCAAAGACGATATATTAATGGTGGAAAACGAATAGTAGTTTTTGTATTATCTCTTGTTCCATTTTCTTCTGATAAAGTTTTTGAAACACTCACTGATGTTAATGATAAACAATGATCACCACCAATAAAAAATATAATTACATGAATTAATTTTATAACAATAACTACTATTAAACCTAATATCCATACTAAAAATTATTTAAAAAAATACAAAATTATATTTTTAAAATGCATACGATTCAAAATTTCTACAAATTTTCTTTTTTTTTTAAGTTTACTTCTCCAATTAAAAAAAAAAAAACAAAAATCTCGAGTTTTAGATTTCATATAATCATGAATATAATAAACGTATCATTTTATGCACCTATAAAAATTGTTTCGTGACAAAAAATTAATTAGAAAAATATTATCATTTTTTGGCAAATTTTTCATTTCGTAAAATGGAAATTATACAGAACGAAATAATTATTATATTCATGGTCGTATGAAAAAAAACAAAATAAATATTTTGAGTTGTTCATAGTTTACCATCAAAAAATGAATTTGATTTTGATTGAGGTGCTTGTCGTATACATCCGGGATTTTCAATACTATATAAAATAGCTGGAAGAAGAGATTGAATATCATTGATTGATAATTGAACATTAGTTCTATTATAACCATGAGCATAGAGTAAATCAGATGCTGTTTCATAACACTAATAAAAGATAGAATTTTTTTTTCTTTTTGCATAAAATATGAAATTTTTACTGAATTTTTTATATATTCTTCATCATAATCATTTGATCGAATTTTTGTTACATTTATTGATGAATAAACAGTATCAACAGATCGATGATGTTTTACATCACGTAAAATATTTCGATAAAATTTATCTAATGATGTATCATCATGAATATTTTGATGAATTGAATCAAGAAATATTGATTGATTTAATAATGATGATACAATAATCGAAGAATAAATTAAAGAAAAAAATATTCTATACCAAATAATTATCATCTGAAATTATTTCTCTTTAAAAACAAAAAAGAACAAACATTTGAATGATGTTTGAGGCGTTTTTTTATTCTATTGCGCATTCACGCATAGCACTGAAATAGAATATCAAATAATGAAATTCGTACTTGTTCTTGAATGTAGAATACGAAAAAAGAAAAACAAAAAAAAAGTACAACATATTTTTTTTTTGTATGCATAGTTATGTACATAATCGTTTGTATGTATTTATTAATGTTGAAATGATAAGCTGAGGAAAAAAAAAAAAAAGAAAGATAATAACCTAAATTTATTATTATTATTATTTTTCATTGGTAAGAATTTTCAACCAATAATGATTGAACATGACGCATAGATGATGCATTAGTTAATTTTTGTAAAAAAAACTTAATATTATTGTTTTTATTCGTAAAAATTCAGGAAATTATGAATGACGATCAAAATTCATTTCTTTCATCTTCACAACCAGTTGAAATTATTGAAGGTAATATAACATCAACTTCAAATCAAAATAATCAAAATGAATTTTCAACACTTGATGAACCGATTTTCGAAACTATAAAACGTTTGTATTTTCTTAGAAAAATAAAATCAAAAAAACTAATTTTAATTTAATTTTCAAGGTGATCTTTATGCTGTTCTTCGAAAATTTGGTCACGCACTTATTCCACGTAAATCATTAACACTTTTACAACAGTGGGATTTATGGGGACCACTTATTTTAGTTACAACATTAGCTATTCTTCTTCAAAGTAATTCAACAAAAACAAGTAGTGGTATACAGTTTGCTGAAGTATTTACATTAATGTTAATTGGATCAATTATTGTTACGGTAAACTAATTTGTTTTTTTTTGAATCTCTTGACTTTTATTTTAATTTAAAAATTTCTCGAGCAAACTAAGTTACTAAGACATTTGAAAAGAATACTGAAATGAATTCTATATGTTAATAGACCTTTTATTAAAGACATCCTATGAAGAAAAAAAAAAATTGCATTTTTTCACTTCTCTCTTCAGAATGATAAAAAGTTTTTGCACTAAATAACAAATTAAAATAAAGAAACAATCATCATGAATTTTATTCATACAATAAAACACAATATTTATTATGTAATTATTATTAATCTAGACAAGTTTTTCTGTCCTTTAAAAAATATATATATACGTTACTTGTTCGCTATCTTAAATAGGAAATTCAAAATGAACATGAAAACAGAATATACTAAAATATCATAATAAGCGTTTGAACATTCAGATGTATTTGTTCTCTCCTTTATTTTCTCAAACTTCTTTTATGAATGATCTGTAAGATTAAATATTCATTGATTGATTTCACAAATTTCCATAAAAATAAAGTTTCTTCTTTGAATCTTTTAAGATATTCTAGTAAACACGAATGACTTCTATTCAACTTTCTTCTTAACTCAAAACTTGTAGATCCGAATAGATGTCACCCTTAAAATTTCGATTATATCTTTTCAAATTTTTATTACTTAGACTTGAGCCCTTTTCAAAACCTTCTACGAGGTTTTACTATAAAAAAAATCACGCTAGAAAATTCTGCAGCAAAGATTATGAAACACGTAAATAATGATTTTTCAAACAGCTGTTTTCTTAGCTTAGCTAGCGTCTAATTTACTGAAAGCAAGTTTTTTCATTGTGCCCAGTAAAACTTTCTTGAATAAAATCATAATGTATAGAAATAATATTTCGTGCAGTAATACGCTTTCAAAGAGCCATATATTTTCTTCATATGCGCACACTCCGAGTCAAATAATTGCGATTTCTATGCTTAAAGCTGTGAGGACAAGTTTTTTTTCACTTGAACTATAAGTATTCAATCATTTTATTTCATTTGATTCAAATGATTTCATAAAAATACTTATAATAATATATCAAGAAAAGGAAGGAAGCAATCATGACTTTGATGTATATTAGCAGAAACAAAAGAGAACATTTGAGAAGGATATAAATGACAGGAAGCAAGAGAGAAAAGCTATGCATGAAATAGCAGATGGAATAACCTATTACATTACATGTCATAACAGTTTCATAGAGCGCAAACAATTTCTTCATTGGAATATAAATGATACAGTTTATGTGCCGCTGCTCTCAAAAGATTAAGCACGGTTGAGTTAACAGTGATCTTTAAAACGAGTGAAAAATGAATAATCAAGGACAATATTGTAATAGAATGACATAAATTTTCGGATGTAATACTAATATTATGAACAAAAAAAAAATTCGAGATGATAATAATAGAAAATAGAATTTTCGACGGGATACTAAAATTGACAATGTAAAGTATATTTATCGTTTGAGAAAGAAAATGTTTGAAAATATATCAATCTCGTGTTTTGCAATCTTTTCTTCAGAATTTTTTTTTTTATGATTAAAGATCGGCTTAGATCAAATTCAATTTCAAACGAGATCAATTAATTTTTGATTATATTTTAGATTAATTCACAATTACTTGGTGGTAAAATATCTTTTTTTCAATCAGTTTGTGTACTTGGTTATTGTTTATTACCATTATTAATATCTGCATTTATAAGTTATTTTCTTTTCTATCTTCCATTTAAAGCAATATTACATATAATAAGATTTTTAATAGTAATGAGTGCATTTATATGGACAATGTATGCAAGTATTCGTTTTCTTGGTCAAACTCAACAATTAAATCGTCGTATGCTTGTACTTTATCCAATATTTTTATTTTATTTTCTTGTTTCTTGGCTAATTATACTTCGTACACATTCGAAATAAATTTTTATTGATTTGATTTTTTTGTAATTTTTGTTTTCAATGATTATTGTTTTTTTTTTTAAGAAATATGTTTCAAGCTAATTTTATAACTGATTGTCCACCAGATAGTATTGAATGGTGTCCTATACATCATGATATATTTGCTTGTGGTACATATTTATATAATCCCGAAAATATGACAAGACAAGGTTCAATTTATTTATTTCAATATAATTCATTAACAAAAACAATTGATATTAATCAACATCATAAAACAAATGGTGGAATACTTGATTTAAAATGGATAAAATGTTCATTAGATTTAACATTATTATCAACTGTTTCTGCACTTGGACAATTATCTTTATATTCATTAAATGATATAACAAAACCAATTCTATGTGAAAATGTAACTAATAATCAAACAATAGCTTTATCACATTCATGGTTACATTCAATAAATAATTATGTTGTTATAAGTGATCAACAAGGTTATTTAACAATATGTGAATTAGATAATACAAATAGTTTACGTTTTAGTCAATCATGGTTAGCACATGAATATGAATGTTGGACATCAATATGGGATAAACATGATTCAAATATAATTTATTCTGGTGCTGATGATACATTATTAAAAATTTGGGATATAAGAGATTATAAACAACCTATACATATTAATAGAAAACATACAATGGGTATATGTTCAATAATATCAAATGAATTAAATCAATATGAATTTTTAACAGGTTCATTTGATGAATATTTAAGACAATGGGATAAACGACAAATGAATCAAACATTAAAAGAAATAAAATTAGGTGGTGGTATATGGAAAATAAAACCATATCCATTAAATTCAAATATACTATTATGTGCTTGTATGCAAAATGGTTTTGTTATTGTTGATTTAAAAACATCAATAATTTTATGTAATTATAAAGATCATCAATCATTAGCTTATGGTTGTGATTGGCAATATAATGATTCAATGAATCAATTAACTGAATTAATGGATGATTGTATGAATGAAGAAACAACAACAGCAATATGTGATAAAAAAATTTCATCAGATAGTTTAATTGCTTCTTGTAGTTTTTATGATAAAACTGTTCATGTTTGGAAACAACAGATATAAGAAAATGATTTTGTTTTGATAAAAAGAAAACCGATTATGATTAGTATTTATTTATTGGATTTTGAATTAGATTGAAAAATTTTTTTGACAAAATATTTATTCATTTTGGATTCGTTAGAAAGTATTTTCAATGAGTCGTCTAATGCGATGAATTACAATCTCTCTTTTCTTGAACAACGTTCTTAATTAATT